TTTATTATTATTAATATATATATGTTAAGATCAATTAGAATCAAATCCTCTAGTGAAATGGAGGATTTATGATTTTCTAAATTTTTTAGTATAATTATTAAATCCGAAAATTTTATTTTTTAATTAAAATCGTATTGATCTTAACTCGGTGTTTAAATGGAATCAAATGGGATTTAACTTTAGGACTTAGAATCTAACCTTAATGAAATTGAGAGAATTATTGAACATGTATTATTTTATTTTTTAGGTTTGGAGTCTTTAAGGGTGGAGATAAGGATCTTATTGAAGCGACGAATCCGTGCTTAAAACTTCGAGGTACGTGTCGAGGAAACAGTTCAAAATATAAATGCTTTAATTCTTAGTCTTATTTAATATTTCATGTTTTTATATCAATGAAATATGTTTAAATTAGAGAACTTTTGTAATTATGTCTCTTTTATTTGATTTCACCTTTTGTTATGCATAGAATCATATAAGAGACATATGGGGCAATGATAGTTTATACTGAAAGTTTATAAATAAGAAATTTATGAAAAAAGGAAGAATAAGGGATATACCCTTTCTGTTTGCATTTGTTAGTATCCGGATGGTACTCCTAAATGGTAAAGAGCTTACTTACGAGCATTGGCTAAGAAGTTCTTCATGAAACCCCTATGTAAAGAGAAAATTTTTCCTAGAACTTATATCGGAAAGGAAATTTTGCCCGTGGCGACCACCTATTTGACTGGTACCTTTATAAGTGTACTGATCAGTACGAAATGTAGGTACGATTCGGGGACTGGACGCGCGTCGTACGGTGTGATTCAATTAAGATACATTAATCTCACTTTGCTATTTAATATGAAATAAGATTAAGAAACGGAAAGGAGAATGTTTATGTAAAAGAGGAATGTTATGCTTAAACCATGTTTAAAGATCAATTTCTAATTAAAATAGTTTTATTTAAGCAATTTATTTAAAGTTAATTGTATATGAACTACCTGCTAGGCTTTAGCTCATTCCTCGTCTTTGGACAATTCTTTTTCAGGAGAAAAGTAATGGCTGCACGACGACCTTCATGTATCGTCGTAGGGACCTCAGGATGAAAGTTCCATTTATTTATGTTTTGAGTCTAAGGTTTGAGGTGAGTATTCTGAGTATGAGTGAGAACAGTATGTAGAGTTTATGAATGTTATGACTCAAAATGTTTTTATTGGTATTGAGATAATGCTGAACTGTTTGGGACTATCTATTTGATGTTGTCTTTAGTTAGCTCTCTCTTATTTATGTGGAATGATAGTTTAGTTTTCTGAATAGTTATTTTATCTAAATTGAATTTCGATTTATGTTTTAATGCTCTTCCGTTCTACGATCGTCTTGTATCCCGCTCCCGATATATCTGAGCTAGCCGGGCCGGGTCGTGACAATGCATTCCTCCTCCACTTCAAACATCCAACTACAATTCTACTAATAATATCCCCATCTATTTCACCATCACTTTGAACAATAGACCCTAATGACTTGATCATCCAAAGTCACAATCCCCTCCACTAAATCAATAACTACTAAAATTATATTTCATTTGTTCGATTTTAGATCTACTCAATTGCAAACCTTTAGACTCCAAGGTTCGCCTCCATAATTCAAGTTTACCTTAAACTCTCTTTCTAGTCTTATCAATAAGAAGAATATTATCAACAAAAAGCACACACCAGGGTACATCCTCTTGCAAATGTCTAGTAAGAACATCCATGGCTAAAACAAAAAGATATGGGCTTAAAGCTGATCCTTGATATAATCTAATTGAAATAAGAAAATACTTAATCGAACCACCTTGTGTTTAAACAAGTAATGACTCATGTATACAAATCCTTAATGACTTGAATATAAGCATTACTAACCCTTTTCTTTTCCAGAACTCTCCAGAGCACTTCTCTTGAAACTTTATTATATGCTTTCTCTAAATCAATAAATATCATATGTAGATCCTCCTTATTCTCTCTATACTTCTCCATTAAACCTCTCAATAAATGTATAGCTTTCATAGTAGACATATTGATGCGGACATCCAACCGTCCATGCTTATCCGAGGAGGAGCTGAAGATCGACGACCGATATCACTTTGTTTTATTTTAGTTTATTAAGTGTATTTTTATTTAATTTTACAATTTCCCTTTTTTACCCTCTTGTCTTATGTAAGCCCAAGGGGCAAATGTGTCTTTTAATTTCTTTTGAGGCCTATATATAGAGGCCCCTTCTCTTGTATTAGGATGATGAAATTATAATAAAAAAATTTGTGTTTTGCTCTTGTGTTCTTTGGGAAAAACTTTAGTGAAATCCCTATGGGAGGGAATCGGAGTTTCCACCAGTTACAGGATGGGTCCGGGTTTGTTGCGTGAAGTCCCTTGGAGAAGGGCAACGTAGTACCCGTTAGCCGCAGGATGTATCCGGGCTCGCGATTGTATCCTTGATATTTTGTTTCTTTGTTTTTGTTCCTTCTTATTGCTCCTCGTAGTCATATTCATTCTCTTCCTACTTCCACCTTCACGTAGTCTCCATCTCCACCTTGCCACCGGTCCCTTACCCTTCCCATTCAAACCGCCGGCCACACCCTCTCCCATTCCCCATTGCCTAATTTGGATAATTCCTAATTTTGGATTGCCATAATTTAGTTGGTTTTTGAATTCAAATTTCCCCAAATTTGAAATTCAAATTATTTCATAAATTATAAAATATATTTAGGAAAGTTTTTAAATTTTCCCTCCATTGGATTTTGAATTAATTAGGATGACTTAATTCATTCTAAATCCAACCCCCAAAATTAAGGAAGCATTAAAGCCTCCTTAATTCCCTCCCTCTCTCACCCCTAGCAGCCGGCCTCATCATCCTCCTCCCTCCAAAACACAAATCACATCTTGAATTCTTGCCATAATTATTTCATCTTAGTTTAGAAAGGTTTAATTTCAAATGTCAAAGCATTTCGAATTTGAAATTCCTTTCCTAATTTAAGAGATCTATTTTTGGAAAGCTCCTTAATTAGCTCCTATTTGAATTTTGAATGAGAAAGGATTTAATTACATATTTCCTATCTCATGAATCTAAATTAGGAAGTTTCTTTTAATTCTCCAAATCTCCTACCTCTCTCCTATTACTGCCGCCACCCTTAGATTTCTATTGGAAATCCTTCCATATGGCAATGTCTCTTCTTGGAAAGAGTTTAAAATCCCTCACAGCTGCTGGCCGAAATTTCCCAAGGCTCATGCATTGATTTCCTTCCATTAAATGCTCCTTATGGCCTGAAATTAATTCCAGATTCCCCGCCACTGCTGGGCAGAGAATTCCCCATAATACTCATCTAGTTTTCTTGCATCTAGAGAGCCAGAATCCTGAATTGTCATAGTCCAAGTTGTTGTCCAGTTTTCTGGACAGATTTTGTGTGCCGTCCAGAATTTCCCATTGCCAAAATCAGCCTTCTGTCTTGGGGAATTAAATCCTTTCTTTAATTTCCTTTGCTGGCTGAAATTCCTCAATGTTGTTCCGTGGGATTTTCTTCCATTAAACTCCCCAAACTCCACGTGACAGTGATTCTACTCCTTCCTCCAACCCCAGCCTAAAATCTCCTTCATTGTCTTGCATCCACACCTCTTGGAAGTTCTAAAAATTGCTGATCTGGAAGAGGAAAACTACTATCCACCATTCTTCTTCAGCCCTTGGAAGACCTCTAGCTGCTGTGTTGGAAGAAGAGTTGCTGTCCAAGACTTCTAAGAGTCAAAAGCTGCTGTTTAGACCCCTCGATTTGCTCTTCAAGACCCATAGAATTCAAATCCTCCTACCCGTTCTACATCACCTACCCAACATGAATCCAAATTGATTTTGAGAAACATTAGTATCATGTCGTAACCTATACTCAATAACTCTATCCCACAATTTTAAAAAATAATATATTAAATTAATTCCTCTATAATTCGTACACTCTTTTGCATCACATTTATTCTTAAAAATAAGGATCAATAAATATCTTTTTAGTCTTTAAAATAATATTGAAAAGTTTTGTAAGCTAAGAAATTCATTAATCGCCTATATATTTCCCCACCTCTCTTGGAACATCATCAAGTCCAACAGTTTTTCCACACTTCATTTCTTTAAAGCCTCTCTAATTTTAATTTTAATTATATGCCGATAAAAATAAAAATCTCTATATTCATTTAGGGTGTTAAAGTCACTAGAGTCAATCATATTCTCACAATCATTGAAAAGATTATCAAAATATTTCATACACCCTTGTTGAATATTCTCTTCTGATAAAAGTACCTTTTGATCATCATCATTAATGCACTTCACTTGAACTAAATCCTTAATTATCTTATCTCTTTGCTTGGCTAACTTATACATATATCTTTCACTCTCATTAGTATCTATCTATTATATAATTCATTAAAAACTAAATTTTTTGCATCGCAAATTGCTTTCTTAGACTCCTTACAAGCCACTCTATATCTTTTCTAATTTTTCAAGCTTTACATCTAAATCAATTTTTATAACAAAACTTCTTATTTTTTATCTTGTCTTGCATATTTTGATTCCAACATCAATTATTTTTAGTAGAAGTTTTTTGTTTTGATACTACAACTCTCCAAGCACATCCTTTTCAACACTCTTAATATAATTTGCTACTTTTTTTCACATAACATTAGCTTACTCATGGAATATCATAAAATACTAGAGGAAAAAAACAAACATCTAGGGGAAATTTTTTAAGCATTGTGATCATATTAAGTGAATATATCAATAAGCCAACATTACTTAGAATATGATAGTGCTAATACTGAGATAGAGCTAAAATATTTATTTGATGATGGAAAGAGAATAAGCAAGGCACTCATAAGGCTAGGTGCTAAATTTCTGCCAAGAAAATGGAAGAAAATGTAAATTTAAAGCATCAAAAGATACTTTGACTGTAATTAAATCAATAAAAAAATACAAAAGAACGCTTATATTCTAAGCTAAGAATAGCAATTTGATTATAATATGTGGACATAAAATAGCATGCAATGAAAGAAAGAATGACTCATACCTAAGCGTGGAAGCTTAGTTTGTGGGGGAAAGCCAGCTTCCAAAAGATCTTGAACCAAAAAATCGCCCTCAATTGTTTTCATTCCATGAAGAGCCAGACCAATTCCTATTTAAGAAAAAAAAACAATAAACAAAGGATAGGAACATCATCGGTGTGAGTTACAACACTAAACATGGACTGAAGCATATCTGAAAGATTACACGTCATTGTTAAACAAATAAACAAAAAAATCTAAACCTGTCACAAAATCTGTAGGGTTAAGCAAACTTCCTCTCAGTTTAACTCTTCCTATCTCATCTTCCAAGATAAGTTGATCATCTGGATGCAAAAAGTTATGAGGTTTGACAAGTGGAACCGCAGTCCTCTGCACGCATTATATTTACGCACCATGAAACTCAATCTCATAAGAGTTTATCGGCTATCATAATGCAGAAATTTTGCAGGATCAGCATTGAACCTCCTTAGAGTATTCATCTAGTATGCAAGGCTTGAGCTTCATGTGCTTGTAGATAGTTCCAACTATAACACATTCTTTGCTTTCCTCAAGTCCAAGAACTGTAATAACTGAATCAAGGTGAAATAAAAATAAATAAATAAAACATTCAAATGAAGCCAGTCCATATTCTTTCATTGCATAAGTGAAGCAGTGAAGAAATATTTGAAGAGAAAGGTCATCCAAAAACAAATTCCAGCCGAGACTCCTTGGATGAGCCTAGCTCACCGGAAGTGTATGAGACACAAAGACGCCAAACCAAATCACTCTTCATAGAAACTGGCCGACAACATGAATAACATGGTTCTGATAATAATAATAATAATGCAAGTATTTGTCAAATAACATTTACACATCGAATAATTTCTACCTAGCTATACAACAGAAAGCTCATCACAATTAGTGGTTCCAGGTTCGAGAATGCATGCATAGAAGACTAGAACTATAAAGAAAGAAGCCCTGAAATTCTGGGATTTTAATAATTTTACAAAATCTCAAACAACGCTTATGATTCCTATAAATGATATTTCTTTTATTGTATAATTCACAGGTTACATTGGTTACATGCCACACAAACAAATATTCAATGTCCAATAAATGATAGAGAAAAGATCAAAATGATCATTGGGTTATTATGAGAGTTTATCTTAATCCCAAACTAATGAATGTGCCTAATTTAATATTGACTCCTCAAATTCGAATCAAAATAATACAATAGAGGAACTATTTTGAATTGTATATACATAGTGAAAGGAGGAATAAATCTTATATTTTAGATAAATGGCATTAAAATGACCCCATAAAAATAATCCAAAAACTATTTTGACCATTTTCTCATAAATGATATGATACAACAGCCTCATCTAGGCTTTAAAACCTTAAGGACACAAGAGGCAAGAAAAATAATGATGATTTTGAAGCATTAGCAAAGGAAATATTAGAATAGAAATGTTTTATATATTTGGAGAGTGGTGTATGATATTTATGTGTGCCCTACGCCATTGTAATCATTCTCCTTTATATGTAGATGGGATCTCCTATGAATAAGATAAGAAACAAGCAATCTTCTCAGCTTAGTATCAGAGTCAATTTGATGCAGGACTAATATGCTTTAGATGAATGCGATAAGAACTTACACGATTTTGATAAGAACAAATAACAATTAAGACTATTAGTGGCTAAACGATAATAGAAAATGTAAGAGGGGTAGCTACGCTTAGGTCAAATCACATGCAAATACTTGAAACATCAAAACAATTTAGGATTTCAACAACATACGAATTAAGTAGTTATTCAACAAAAATCCCTAATCTAACATTGAGATAAGCAACATAGAAAGTAAACTCAAATCCTACATTTATTAAGCGGGGTCAGAGAGCGAAGCACGAGACCTTGCGATTTAAATCAACACCTACAAGGTTAGCGGATTAGAAAGATAAATGAAGATAGAAGAAATTCACCCTTGTCATTGTCCGGAAATAATTTGCCACTGGACATTGGCAAGTTGTTCGTCGATGGCTTCCAAAAGTATGAAGATGATGTGGTCCACGTACTCTACGACGGAGTTGTCGGTTTCTAGGTTGAAGTCGAAGAAGGTGGAGTAGAGAATGTTGATGTTCCCTTGCTCGTCGTAAGCGAATCCGCAATCAAGTTCCGGATCGGTCATGCATCGATTCTGTTGTATGAAGTATGGTAGATGACGTCCTTCAATATCCTTAGGGATTCGTTGGAGAGAAGAGTTTTTTCTTCTCAAGAATCCAAGTGGAAAGAGGGATGAAGGGTTCGGCCAAGGGAGAGGAGCCACACGTGGAGTTTAGGGTTTAGACTTGGAGGGAGAACTTACGAAAATCTGAAATTGATTTCAGATTTGGTTTAGGAGGGATTTGGGGAATTAGAATTTTAAATCTAATTCCTAAATGGGAGGGAGGGAATTAATGGGAGGAGAGAGGGAGGTGGGAGAGAAGGGGGGTCGACAATATAGAGAGAGAGGGTGGGGCTTAAGGCAAGTGTTTATTGCTTGCTTAATTGGGAATCTTAAATTAGGGATGAGCAATTAAACCCAATTCAATTAAAATTTGATTTGGATGAGATTTGAAGACTTTCCTAAAATATATTTTATATTTTAGGAAAGATTTTGAATTTCAAATCACTTGGATTTGAATTCAAAATTAGTCCTAATTATATTCAATCTATATTAGGATATAAGGAAAATAGAGGGAAAGGGCTAGGGTGGGCCGGCCGGCGGTTGAGTGTGGAGGGAGGAGGCCGATGGGTGAGGATGTGGTGGGATGGTTCGGTTGAGGGATGGAGGTCTTATTTGGCCAGTGGTGGGTTGGGAAGTTTAGGCTTGGAAGTGGTCGGTGGGGGTTTGGTGGTGGTCTTTGGCCGACGGGTACAAGGGAGAAAAGAAGGGAAAATAGGTTAGAGAACCAAGAACTCACCCGAGGGTGGTGGTTGGGTAATTCATTTAGCCTCTCCTAGGCTCTTCTCCAAGACTCATAAACTAACCAAGAGACACAAAAGCTGGAATTTCAGTAATAATCATTCATTGAACATAAAAAGAGAACATAAGAGCTATATATAGCCTCATACAAAGGACTCAAAAATAAAAGACGACGATGTCCTTTGGGCTTACACATGACCACCCTTAAATAAAGGGTAAAAGCTGAAAACAACAAAAGCAAATATAAAATAATAAAATAGTAATACATATGACAACTTAAAAATATATCGGCACGACCGTGGCCGTAAATCGGCGGCCACGCCTCTGATAGACTTTCCAAGTTCCGATGTCCCCATCATAGTTCCAATGCTAGGCATGTAGGTTATGGACCTACCACACTTTTTAAGCCCTATTTACGAAAGTATTTAATCATTGCAGGTCTAAGATAACCAAACTATAATATTATAGTTGAATTTGCCTATAATAAAAAGGGGTATATCTTTCTCTGAGAAAATATGCTACTAATCTTCTTGAAGAGATTAGTCCTCTAGGTAACAAACTTATTGCTATCCCTATAAATAATCAAGTCACTTTTGAAAATGATAACCCTTTAATGGCTCATCTCAAATTCTAGTAAAAAAAACTATTTTATCTAATTATCACTGACTTTGACATTTCTTTCATTGTTGGAGTTGTAAGCCAACACATGCAAACACCAAAAACATAAACTTTGGGAGGTTATATGCATTCTTAAATGTATCTAAAAAACTCCTAAAAAGGTTCACTAGATACAAAGACTATTTCTAGAAATTGACCTTACAACAACAACATCATCAAGCCTTTATCCCACTAAGTGGGGTAGAAATTGGTCTTATTAAAAAAATACACAAACACATTTTTAAAATGAAAAAAAAAGTCTTAAAAAATAAATAAGAACATATGGAAATTAAATGACTTAATATTTTAACACAAATGAGATTCAATATTAATAATTAAAATTTTAAATATCATGTGCTGCATCAAGCCCCCTTGGCTGGAAAAAATATTTACACCAAAAAGTTAAGAAGTTGTTGGAGAAATAAATGAAAATCGATGAGTATATTGCAAAGCTAGCAAAAGTCCATCCAAAAGAAGAAATACAAATAAGAAGTTCAACCTAAAAATGATACGACGAATGGGAAATTTATCCCTAAGAGATGAATGAGAAGAACATCACTATCCTCTTCATCAATTCTCAAGAATATGACTATGGCTCTCAAAATCTATATTTAAAAGTTGCAAATTCTTCATGTGCATGGCTAAATTGTTCAGAACTCTACTCAACGTTAGCCTGAAAACTCCTCACCCTAGCAGTTATTACAACATATTGCATTTCTAGACCATTATTGATGGTCTCCTAACCAACTTTTAGAATCTCAAACAATAAGCTCCCAGTGGTGACTTCCTTGTTAAAACTCTCCAATAGTTCCTCCTCCACAATAAATTCAATATTCTAAGTAGCAATGAGATGACCTCAAAGGAATGAGGGCACTTGGAACTTGGGCAAGCAAGAAAGATCGAGAAGTGCTGACTTCTCTCAAATACCCCTAGCTTGAGCTTGATCATATAGTAAATCAATTTAGAGAATCACAACAAACTCGAAGTGTAGGACCGTTTTAGCTTGTACTTTTAAAAAGAAATATAATAAAATACTAAGAGCTCGTCTCTCTGTATTCTTTGTTAAGCTTTTCTTGCATTTGCTAGTAAGTTCTTAATGCCACCTATAGCTAGTTTAAAATCCACCATCTTTGGATGTGATGTTGTGTTTTCATATTTTCTCATTCAGTCTCACCCAACTTCTCATTCTTTTGATGATTTTGTTGGATCTAAATTTATCCGTGAGCAAAAATAGAACCTTCTATAACTTACAAAGCTAACA